GAAATCCAGTGGAAGGTGCTGTTGGTTTAAACTTGCCTGAGATGAGATTCGGCCATAATCCCAGAAATTAAAATTTACACGACAAGCGATTCATTGTAGTTGACTCAGGTCTGCTTTGAGCCCACATTCCTCAGCATCTCAAAATAACCCATCTGGGTCACATGAGGTCACATCCAATATTTTTTTGCTCATGTGTAAATCCATCTCTTGAGTTCTTGGAAATTATCGAATTTCTAGTTCCGCACTTTGTCCTCGACCACATGAAACGCGGCCCCGACCGAAAACAACCGAAGGCTACTGTTTAACCGTCGCTGAGAGGCACAAGACGCCGACCGCGCTCACAAATATACTTCACAGAGGCTTTATTTCCTGCTCGACTCGAAAACCAGTTCCACCGCAGAGGGTTTAGGAGGTTTTTATTAACTTATTCAAACATGAGAAGTAGTCTGGGACACAGGTTTCCCAAAGTGAGGTCCTTGGACCTTTCGGGAGTCACGGTGGAGACACGAGCTGCGTCCATGCAACAGACTGACTCCAAACACATGATGAGTTCACGTTGTAAAACCGACCGAACTGAATTTACTTATAAAACATTCAATTCTTCAATGTTCTGTTGATACACTCTGTTGTTCCACAGAGAGGAACGGAGCAGAAACTCACAGCTGGAAGTGATTTAAACCGTCGACGCACAACATCAGGAAGAAAACAAATTGAAAAATCATCAGAAATGATTGTGCTTGATGAAGTTACTTTTGAAAACACGCAGTGCCTGTTGGGTTGTTTTTATTTCTGAGGAGGGGGGGGGATGGTTACTGGAGCTTTTGTGGTAGCTGCTCCAAAGCTTTGGAATAACTTTAAAGATCCTCCTCTGTTGACTTTTTAAAGAAAAATCTCAAGATGTTTTCAATAGATAGTTCTTTTTAGTATTTATCTTTAACTTTGATCGCATAACATAGTGTTTGGTTATTTCTTGTTTTAATACACATTTAATACAATTCTATTCTAGTTTACAAATTAACTGCTTTTTGCTCTTTACGGTTAACGATGGTCAACTCAGGTTCTTTTTTTTTTTTTTTTTAAACATGCTATTTAGATAAACTTGATTTGATTTGTTTTCTGCTGCCTGTATTGTATATATTTTTCCATAGCACTGGGTTTATTCTGCCCTTTTAATCCTCATAGTGATACTTTAACCTGGTTAATTAGCAGCTTGAAGCCTGAATTCATTAGTATCAGTTAACAAAAATAAACAAAATCAGTTGTTTGATCTATGAAATATCTGAAAATTGTAAAAATGTCCTCAAATGTCCTGTTTTGTCCAAAATCCAAAGATATTCAGTTTACTGTCACAGAAAACAAATCAGAATGTATTCAGATTTAAGAAGCTGGAATCCAAGAATTTTGATTCTTATTTCTTTAAAAAAATATGCTCAGAGATTAATCGATTATCAAACAGCTGACAACTGATCGATTAATTGTTGCAGATGTATGTCGTGAATATGCAATATGTGGCCATGTAGAGCTTTTTTTTTTTTTTTTTTAGCATTTGAATAGAAATTCAACTCACAGTCTTATTTTTTTGTTGCCAGTTTTCTAAAATAACTAAAGTTAACACAAGGCTTGTTGGGCTTTTCTTTGACCTGCTGCTGCTCCTGTTCAACATCGAGCCCAACGCCGACACTCGAATGTCCGAAACCGGTGGCAGTTTGCAGCAGACTGTTGTTGTTATCAGGCTCCAGTCGGGACTCACGGCCATAAAGAACATAATATTGCTTTCTTCTTATGAACACAGTGCAAAGCGGCGCAGATCTCTGATGACCAGCTCCTTACCCCTCATCTCCTCTCCTCCTTGATCTTCCCACACTGTTTGCTTTACTTTATTTTCTGTTTTCTCTCCCCCTCCCCCTGTAATTTTTTCGTGCAAAGAATAAAATTTCATCTGCGCGGGCTCTGGGAAAGGCGGCCCTCGGATTGGCCCTTGCCCGTACAGATGCTTTGAATTTACGGGGCTTTTCTGGCTGCTAGTAGAAGCAGGGAGGGATGGAGGGATGGATGGATGGCGAGATGGAGGGAGGGGGTGAAACCTGCCTGTATTTCCTGGGGATTAGGCGTCAGATGGGCGCCCTCAGAGGAGGTCTCAGGTCCCGGCCTCCCTGGATGGCTGGGAAACTGACCCCCATCTGACTCCCTGGTCTTCCCTGCTCCCTACCAGCATGTAGCCCCGGGACAGGACTAAGGCCTGGGCTCTGTCCGATAACCACGCAGGCTCACCGCGGCCTGCCTGCCGGCCGGACCAGACCTCAAATGTTTGCTGCTTATTATTGTGTTCTTCAAAGTACAGCTCAAGTTTAGTGAACCTGTGCTGCAGTTTTGGTCATTAATTCTATCAATCTACTGGATTATTACCTCATTTCAGGTGCAGCTACTCCTTCTCTAAACACAGTGCATCAGATCAGCTCATATGTTGATTTGTTGAAGCAATGTCATCAAGTTCCCTGATCTCAACAAATAAAACCTGAGCTAAAATTATTGCATAATAAGCTCAGCGTTAAAGGGCCAATTCATGAGCTAAGTGCCGTATTATGCTCGTTAGGTCTAATACACGACAGTTATAAGGTATTACTCGAGTTACATATGTAAACTCAGCATCAATAAAGGCCTGTATTTCATGCAAGATCAGTAAGATAAAGAATAAGTGTTGATTTTCTGTCAATATATTTTAAATTCATCTTGTTATGTATTGACCATATGGTGCAAAAACGCGACATATTGGGGTTTTATAAGCGAAACTCTTCATCAGTTTGTATTTGTGGCCACAGAACTGCAGAGAATAATGTTTTTACTCACAGTAAGAGTCCATATATAAGATTACACAACTTTACTAATAGCAATTTTCGGCTAGCTATAAATTGCCAGTCCTTTGGAAGAAGACAAGCCAGCTGCACTTTTCACTATTTAGACGACGAAACCTACTCAGTTCAAGGAACTATAATCAGTATTTTTTGATAAACAGTAGATCACGTTTTCTTGTTAGCACCTTTTAACTTTGTATTTTGATTTGACAACCCTCTTCTTTACTGTTTTGGTTCACTACAAATGCTCAAGACCTGGCCAGCACCAAACAGCAAATGGACAATAAAAGCAGCCAAGAGGTGGTGGAGACCCAACCAGAGTTTGGTCTTGCTTTTGCCAGGTTGACAAGAGTGGGAAACTTCCCCACGAGATTACCCTAAAAAGTAGCGTTTTTATTAATTACGGACGGAAAAAGATGGTCTTAATGTTTACAAGAGGCCGACACTGACTGTTAATAGGAGAAGGAGCATGAACCACGTCGCCACAAGGTAGAAAACGTCCTCAGAAAATGTACTTAAAAAGCAGAAATACAACACAATAACAGTGTTAAACAAGTGTATTATCAGAAAAATGTAGCCTCAAGAGTATAAGTGCTCATTCTCCAGTAAATTGCCACCTTTGACTGCTATGTTGTAATATATGACATTATTAGATTTTAATCGTGCAGCACCAGTGTGGACATAGTTTTGTGAAGTTTGTTCCCAAGCTATGGTTCAAGCCCCACTGAAGGGTCCCGAGATACATCTGAGCGGTTGTGAGAAGAAGAAGTACTGAATACTGAGAACACATTTTCAAATGAAACACTGAAATATCAAATGTGAATCTGACAAACAGCAGCTGGTAGTAGCGTGTAACTACAAGTGATAAATATACTGAAGTAAAATGTTCAGTATTTCACTCACAGTAGAAGTATAAAGCAGCATATAATTAAAATATTCATATAACGTGTAAATTCCTCAAAATTGTACCTAAGCACAGTTCCTTATTTGCATCACCACAAGAGTCTGCAGTGGAAACTCTAAGTGAACATGGTTAGTTTTAAAGATGAAGGTTGGCATTTTCACACAGATGAAAGGTGTCTTACATCCAAATAGCTCTCTCCTCTCAGATTATCTTCAATAACAAGGCATGTTGCGCACTCACGATTGGGACCTTAATGGCAGGAATGTACAAATGTGACAAATTAAAGGAAAAACCTGAACCTTTGACACTTACAGCAACAAGATCTGGTGGCTCTTTTATGCTGTAGTGGGACTTTTTGCTGGTTTATTTAGTTACACTTAGAAGGAACAAATACTTCCAACAGACACATCGAAGCTGTTCTGGAGGCACATGATGACTCAAGACCTTACTAAGACACTTTAATTTGGTTTTTCCTTTAATTTGTCACACATCTTTACATCTGAAGACAACTAGTTGGAACCTGTAGATGACAAGCAATAAGCTGGAGTAGATATTTTACCTGGTTTACAGCTAAATCCTTCTCCTTGAGGTGTTGCTTTTGCTATTAGTTTTTCAATCTAATAATAAGAAGTCGAGATATTTGGTGTTAATTTCCATCTGTTCCACCGTTGCGCTGTTTAATTTTGTTATCAGGTGTGACGCGGCTGTATGCAAAATGGTAAAAACCAGAAATGTTATCTGAGGGGAAGTAAAAGTTGGGCAACAAAGGCCTCGCTCATCCCAAACAATAGTGTAAAACGCACATTAAGTTCCTTTAAGCCTCAGTGATTCGTGCTCAGCTTTAACCGATCCTGAAGCTGCGCCTCTAAAAGTGAACAGAAATGAAAGCTGCACTCAGAAACTCTTTGGTCCTCGTAAGTACAGCACAGAGACACACGCAGGCTTATTGAGCTGGGGATTGTGAGGCTTTGACTGTGGCTCTCAGTCAAATCAAATAAATGTAGCATGTCATCTTTCTGCCATTTGTTCTTCAACACTTCAAATTATGCTGCCTTTCATACGGCGCAGATTTATTATTACATTTGAGACTCACACACACTTGTTTCCGTGAAGGACAATGAAGGTTTCTCTTTCAATTACACATCACACTCACACATTTTTGAAATTTTATTAGGCCCTGGCAGCATCCTCAACAGGTCTGCATGAAACACAAAATGATCTCAGGATTTCCAGAAGGAGCAAAGTGTTTTTAAAGGTATTTTATTACCGGAGTGTGTACAGACCATTTGTAGAATCATCAATTGTAGCAATTCTTTAGAAAGCATTTTAATTTTTTCTTTTTTAATAAGAAAGTTAGGCTGTCGAAAAGTCCAAATGCAGCAAAGCAGTCGGGTTCCTCATATATATGTGTATATATATATATATCTGTCAGTTCCAAATTCAAATCCAACTCAAATCGACCAGCGTCTGTGTGAAGTCTGCTGCTGCTGCTGCACAGAAAATGGCTGAGATGAAAAATCCAATTGCTGATTACAGGGAGCCATCTGGTGGCGGCTGAATGAAAGAGCAAAACCAAAAGCAACAGCAGAGAGCCTCCAGCGAAAACATGAGTACACTTGTTTTATGGCTTAACAAAGACGAAAACACACACACAAAAAAACAACCTCTTACAATTTTTTTGTCTTTCAAATCCTGTGCCATTTAGAATCAGTGTGAAAATTAAAATAGAAAATAAAAATCTATGTTACAGTCCAATATTTTACTATAACATTTCACAAATACTCCATCTATATAAACACTTATTAGGAACACACGATATAAATCATCGGTGCACTGCAAAAACCTCCAATCTCCACCTCTCGGTCATAAATTAATCCATTTTTTACTGTATTAACAACCAACAGATGTTCAGTTTATAGAATAAACTCATAACATCAAGATATATCATTTACGTTTCTAATCATTAGTTTTTCTAATTATGTTCTTTCTTTTTTTTTTTGGAAATTCAAGGTCTCTGCAGAACACTAAGAAAACACTTTTTGCCTCATAAACGAAGGCAAAAAGGGGAATTTGCAACACACAACACAAAAACAAAAACTCATTCCATTAATCTGTTATATGAGTCTCCTGAAGACCAAGGTTGAGCCAACTGAACTTTTCTTTACCTTTTCATTATACAGTACTAACAACAGAGATGTCCCAAAACGCTGAATCGATACGAAAAAATACAATACACAATTACGTGTCTTGTGTTATTGAGCTCAAAAGAAAGAGAATATCTGGTTTTTTTAATATCTTTACTGCCTTTACATGCATTAACCCGTATTTATCGGACTTCTGTGGAAGCCTTGTAATTGAGGTGTAGCTACGTCTTATAACATCTTTTTTTTTTTTTTTTACTGTATATATCCTGAAAATTAAATTTGACAGTGAGTCTTCTCACTTGCTGAATTCTGTTTTGTGTGGCACTGCTTGTATTAAAAGACCGCAAGAATGACCAGTGCACTTGTACATTTAAACGCCAGAGGTGACAAGTAAATAAGAAATTAAAAACAATATAGGAAAAATACAAACATAATGCAAAATCAAGTTCCCGGCCTTTAGAAAGATTCTTCTTCTCTTCATATTTAACAAATCACTCGTAAACACCTTCTTCTTTCCTTGCAGGAAAAAACAGGAAGGGGGAAGAAGGATAAGGAGGCGAGTATTCCATACTTTTAGCTCGTCTCCAGCTTCGCCATTTCCTGCACGTAGATGCCGATGCTCTCGCTGTCGAACAGCACAAAGTAGACGGTCTTGATGGTGGAAGACATGGTGGCCACGAAATAGCTGGAGATGGCCTTCAGGATCAGCTGAGCTGCCGTCTGCTTCGGGAAACCATTCCTGACAGGAGAGTTTACACACTTAGTGAAATGTGGTCGCACGCTGCACAGACTGTCATCTTCTATTCACTTCACCATGACTGTGGCATTCGTGACGTGGACAGTGGGCAGACACACAAATATAGTTATTTACTGGGCGGTGTTATAGTTTCCCTTTGAAGCTGGGAACACTTGGATAATTTAAAAAGACTTGACTGCATCTTTTTCACACCACCGTGAACACTGTACAACAAATCTTAAGCTTTGTATTTTTTCATAACTTCTCAGAATCCACATCGATGATTTTTCCAAGTTTCTCTGGAGTGTGAAATCTTTGCACGTCAGTCTAAGTGGTTTCTTTGAACCAGAACTTTGGCTGCCGCTCTATCATTTAGTGGTTTCCAACCTTCCAGGGTTTGCTGGATAAATCTATGGTTTTTCAAAATGATTATTGAGATGGGAAATAAGGGAACAAGGTTCAAGTTACAGCTTCCGTGTCCACTTAAATGTTGTCATTTGCCTGAGTCTGTAAAAGTCCATGCAGCCTAAAGTTTGGAAAGAACAAGCAAAGTAGTGGACATCCTTGGCAGTGTTGTGCATGTGCAGAATATATAAACGCTAGGGATGAACCGTTTGTCGGCCTGGTCAATGGTGCAGCCACCTCTCTCTGTCTGTAGCTACTCTGATCTGCAAACTCTTTCTATCAGAGACAAAATCTGCAAAAACTGACCAATGAAGACTAGTCATCACCACGAACCAGGACATTAACTGCTTTCACCTTGGCTAGCGGCTAGCAGCTAAGTTATGAGGCAGCTGCAGATGACACTAAAACCGATTTTGGAAAACAGTAACAAATAATGCTTTAGGATTTGGGCCTAAGTGAGCAATAAAAGTGACAGAACAGTGAAATATTAAGAAAACAGAGAAGAACAGCAGCTGGAACCACAGGAAACAAATTGTTACCGATTAAACAGTGCATCCTGTGACATCAGCGCTCCTATTTCTACTGTTCATACTCGGCAATAGTAAACTTCATGAATGAAGAAACCTACTCATGAATGACAGCTCCCCTGCTATCACATGTGGTAAAATATAACACCAGTTTTGTGTATCATTTCCAAATATCTGTCTTTCTTGATTACAAATAATCCGCATCCACCCTGAAAAACACTTTTCAGTTGATCCTTAGTAGACGCAGATCTACCACGTACGTATTGAACAGAGTCCTTCCAGTGGACTCTAAGGGAACGAGGAAGTAGAGTGATAATAGTGTCTGTGGCGTCTGAAGTTGTCTGTGTGCACATCAGCAATAAAGTACAATCAAAGCTTAAACCCTCAGAGACTTAACAGATGTCACAGCTGTACTGCTGGAGTCTGATTTCATGAGGACTCCAACTGGTACAAAAAGGAGGAATAGGGAACACAATCGTGACAGCACAACTTGCTAGGAAACAAGGCATCACCGTTAAAATAAAGTGGCAGCAGCTTCTCAACAAGAGCAGTGGTACGTGCTCGTCAGTAGTCAGTGTTCATGCATGGAAAACACAGATGTTCAACGACTATTCATGCATGAAAGAGAGTCTTCTGAACGGACTGAAAAAAGCAGAAAAATAGCAACAACTACACATCTGTGGTGTCTGTGTGCAACATTACCATGTTGAGCATACATGACACCAAACTGACTTATTTGTGTGCTCTAAGTAGGAAATGTTCAGGGATCAACAAAATTGTGACACTTCACTGAGAAGCATGTCACCTGGACCAAATGTTTGAGCCAAAGTAACACCACCGACATCACTGTACTGCTCGTGAACAAATCTGTAGCTTAGTCTGTTTTTTAATCCTTGTTGTTTTTTGTTAAATCCTTTGGCGTTTTACCTTCTCGGGCCTCGAAAACTATTCAACAATCTACAAAGGGAGCGTCACTCACCAGCTGAACTGCTGCAACATAAACAGTATTAAACCTGCGAAGAGGTTTCACAACTCGATCTTTCTCCGTTTTAAAAGCGCCATAACCTGCTGTAACCTCCGAGTGCTGCTCTCGCTTCACTTTGCCTGATCAAAGTGCAGGTGTTTACCACCGTTACCAGGAAACCATGACAACTCCCACTTTTAAGTTACACAGAGAGGATGGAGGACAATGTCTGGGCGCGCAGACACACATGACACCAACATTTTTACTGCTGACGAAGCACAAGTGCCACTCGAGGTCTTATGAGGACATAAGAGAACCTTTCCAGCTGAACTCAGGCACATGTTCCTGGTCTGTGACTTTACTTTTGGTAAAACACATCCAGTTTTAGACCAAACTGACAGAATAAAAATGCCCTTTCTGGAATAATTAAGAAAGCTTAAGGTAACAATGCACTTTTAAACAATATCTTCCGCTACAGATGTGTTTTCCTACCTTCCGCTACCGATGGAAGGGAAGGCCACGGACTTGAGTTTCTTCTCATCTGCCAGAGCCAAGCAGTTCTTCACTGTCTTGTCCAGCAGCTCCTCACACTTGTCGGAGCCCCAACCCGGACTGTTACAATGGATGACGTACTTGGCGGGCAGGCCAAAGCCGGCAGTCAACACGGCTAAAAGAAAGAGATAATATAAAGGTTAGTGAAGTGAGTAATGGAGGGAAGAGGAAATACAGGTGGACACAAAGCAGAGGAGGAAATGTAGAAATGTTTAGTAGAAGGCTGACAAGAAGCGAGGATGACAAAAGTCTGAACAAACTGACACCATGCACTGCAGCAAGACTGTAGTGGAAACATGTTTGAACTTTTTCTTGTGTCCTATGTTAAACCAAATATTCATATTGAATCAAATTTAGATTGTGATAAAAGCCCATTTTTATCCACAAATTATTTCATAATGTTATTAATATTTTTCAGTTACCAATTTACTCGATAATATGCCAGAAAATAAGAAAAAAAACATAAGAAACATTCTCAAAAGCCGACAGCAAAGCAGTTCTAAATCTAAATATATTAATTCTGCAATAAAATGCAGCAGAAAAAGCACCAAAAATGCCAAAACTGGTGGCTTAAAACCTCAATTTTTTCATGCAGATCAGCTAACTGACTATGTGATGAACGCATTGCCCATTCAGCAAGAAAACACAATTAATACAGCAGCTATAAAAACGCCAGTCAGTAAGCTACAACATGTTAAATATTCTATAACAAAAGAAGCCAAAAATGACATGAGATTCATTTATGAGACAACAGCTGACAGGAAACTTAGAGAGAGTATAATAAAGTCCGTTGCAACTTTTAACCTCCAACAAATATTTTGATATGAAATAAATGTTTACATGACACTTGCATAAATTGAGAACAGTATTAAACAAAATGAAAACAGAACACATGCAGTCACCAACAGCTGCCACCTGTATTTAGTCACATCGGTGTTTTGCAAATTCTGCTGCAAAGACAAATTGTGCCACCGTGTCGTATTTTGCAACATCTGTGTTAATTTTCTTAAGTCAGATGCAGCTGGGATTTCTCACATCACGTCATTCATGCTCACTGTCAAAAGTCAAAAAATCAGCTTCATTAATCAGTTTTGTCAGAACTCAAAACCCTAAAGTTGAGTTTGGAGGCCAGAGATGCTAAAAGAGCACTTTGCTTTGTGGAAAACGTATAAAACAAATCTCCAAGAGCTTAAAGTGGTTTGACCAGGGTGTTACAACGAGGTGGGCCGTAGAAATCGCTTCTCCAGACAGCTGAGGAGGAGAAAATTACGAGTGAGAGGAAGACAAGAGAAAGAAAGACAAGCGAGGCGTCTGTTCTCCTAGTTTAACGTTTAGTCTTCCATCAACCAGCAGCTGTAGAAAGTGTAACTCAGCCAAAACCTCCGACTCTGTGAAGTGAAAAAGCCTCCAGTCAGAGTTTATTAGGCCACAGCGAAGCGTTTGACTGGACCGGAGTCAAAGCTGAGGACGAGCTGATTTCCAGATGGACCACAGAGAGGATGGAGACACTTCACACAGCAGAAACGCTGCATGTGAGATCTGGATGTGAAGGAAAGCTAGAGGATGATGATTATGGTTTTTATGGCTGCCTCCAAAGTTCGATTTGTTTTATGGTTTGGGGAGGTGGAACCGTGTGCGGTGCTGTTTGTGCGCTGCACATCTGGAGATCATCTGTCAATCAAAGTGTGTGAACAATCACAGTGACACTTGTGCGGGTTTGTTGAAGTGGTTTTATCTTCTGTGCTGGCGTTTTATTCTGTGACGATGTCCAGTCATGCTAATAAACGCTAACAACGCCTTTTATACGTTTCCAAAAAAAAAAAAAGAAAAACAACCAACAAGCAAAGCAAATATGGATAAGCAGCTGCTGAAATGTGAACTTACTTCCTGCAACTAAACTAAGAAAAAAGACCCAGATCTCACCCCATTCCCATCCATTTATACTGAACATGCAAATCTTAAAAAAAATAAAAATGCTCACTCTGATAGAATTTCATTTTTGAGGCTCACAGATTTCCTAAAACAGCTGGAGACTAATTCTTTAGCAAACATCACTCATTACTGAAATAAATAGGCCACTGCTGGGGACTATTGTCAGACTAATAAGCATCAGGAATTGCAGAGAGGAGCCATTTACAGTATTGGGTTTTTGCTGATATTTTTTCACTGGTTTATGCACATATTGTTCCAGACAACATCAAGTGTCTCCTGTGGTGGAAATAACATTACTATGCCTCTACTCTTATTGTGCAGATATAAAATACTAATTCTTTTCAAATGTGCACATTTACTGGGCAAAATTTTAAAACCTAATCCAACTTGTCTGCACAGAATCCTCAATTTATGTGACACTTTCAAACAAAGCTGTACATTTCCAGCCTGACAAACGGTTTCTGCTCGTCATCGTTAATTTCAAACCGATGCTTTGTTCATTTTAAAGCCTTTATCGGCTGATACAGGTGATGTCAGAATCCTTTAAAACTGAACTAGTGAGTATGGTCTGACCAAGCTTGAATAGATTTTAGCAAACAAAAACATAAATTTATATTATCTAGCAGACTTATAATTACAAAAACACAAAGAAAACGTTTTGCTAAGAATCCCTTCAGTTTGTTATTAATAGGAATCATACTCACATCTTTCTCTGGTAGAACAGTTTGATTTCTCTGTTTGGTTTTATTGAGCCTCTATAGCCGCAAGCTGGTTTATGTGGGACAGTTTTTTATTAAACTACAGTGTCCGTGCTTAAATCAGCGAAGGAACACTTCACCCAGTGTTACAGTGTGGCTCATTGGTGTGTTTTTATAGTTTCTGGACAACAGTGAAGCTCTATGGCAGAGAGGAATAATCACATCAGGCTTTGGCTTCACAGAAAGTCCTCGTTAATAGATCAACTCATTTTTGGATTTGGTGTGGGATTTACTGCTAATCACCAGACTTGCGCTTGAAGAACAGCAAACGTGAAAGATTTTATGAACTGACTTCAGGACTCTCTTCTTCTGTTCTGTCGGTAAACAAGCTGCAGAAAGACTCGCGTTGCAAAGTTCTGTTTACTTGACCTCAAACTCCCCTCGGTGTCCTCACTGAACATTTATCACAACACGGCAGCCTCCACTATCAGCAGAGCAAAACACACATCCAGGCCTGGCCAAGCAACAGGTCAGTAAACTTTGCAACAAGGCGGACAGACTTTTGAATTCACACTGGAATTTATAACAAAGACTTTAAATGGAATAGATGTTTATCTTATATTCATTCTTTGTAAATACCTGTTTTTTTTTAACTAATTAAAAGCCTGCTGAGTATTTACAGCTGGATCATTCCACCTCGAATCACAATTTTTGTTCAAACCATCTCTGATTTGCTCAAAACGTCCCACGCATAAAATATAGACATTTATAAAGATATTTGTGAAAATTTTAAATGCTCCTTGACCCACTGAGCATATTTTTTCACACATTGAAATTTACCTTTATGTTTGAACAATAGTCTTTTTTTTTAAACTCCACAACTCTGTTCCACTTGGATTAAGCATATATAGTATACTTATAAGTATATATATCAACATCTATAATAGTTTTGTTTTTGTGGTACAAGTTGTCATACCTGCTAAATCAGTTATGAAAGCTCAACAAAAATGTATTTAATTTTTGTGACCAACTGTTTCATATCAGTATGTATTTGTATTACTGTGACATCCAACTACATGTGGTTCAACAAATTTCACTAGATGACTTCTGCATTAATCAGTTTATTTGTTAATGTGTCTTTAAAAAGGGACTTTCCAAATTTTGTTTTCATGTTGTAACTCACAAACTACCTGATCTACTTGTCCAATGTGCAGATTCAGAATCAGTATCATGATGAGAAATAATTTTAAACATAGACTTTTATCTTTAATAGTTCCTGAGATATTGTCCTTCAAACATAGCTGCAAATTTCAATGTTTGAAAAAAATATGCTAAAAGTTGGTTTCCAGGCAATTTTTTTTTAAAAAAACAAAAAACAAAAAAAGCCCCTCAAGTGTTTGATATAATCAGGCCAAAATTTCACACATACAATTTTAAATATTCATAGTTTATGATAAAAGAGGAATTTCTTGGAATAACACAATTGAAACGCTTGAATCCTTATTGAAATGGTGAAATGGTAAAAGGAATTACACCAACAAGTCCTCCTCTTTTACTTGTTCTGCTTCATATCTTTTTTAAACGTACTGTATGTATGGAGCAGATTACTGTTATGGATAAACCACACATTACAACATAAGAGTTCAACCTCTTTTTGGAATATTAACTTAAATGCAGTAACTTATGTTTGATTAACTTCATCTTGGTTCCTGCCTGGCTTTGAAATTACAACATTTGCGTCCCAAATCCAGATAAACAAACACTTTGAAAACTCCTCTTAAACATCCAGAAAAACGTGTCTGACAGCTGTTCTGTACCAGGTCTGGTCGTGACGACTATTTGGCCGATCCAGATCCCCAGAATCCCTGACAGGCTCTGCTGGCTCGGTGTTCAGTCACCTGGTAATCTATTTATGAGCTCCACATAGAGACCTGGATTAGGATGCTGATCCAGCTAACTTGGCTGAAGGTGGGCAGCGTTAGAAAAATTGAGTGTGAGTGATGGATAATGAGGGAGACATATGGAGAAAGAATACGAGGGAATGAGACAAATGGACTGAAAGATAAAATAATCTGTAAGGGCTCAAACAATATGATTCTCTGAGGACTGATGCCTGTAGTTTTAGAATAAAGTCGCCAAGAACAGATACGATGTGCCAGTTCTACACGTCTTTGATCCTTTCCGTGACAAAAAATATCCGAGTAGTCGCTGTTTCTCAAAAAAGTTTGAGCTTTTAGGAGAATTAGTCCAAGTGTGTGAAATCTGTGTCCAAAGAGCTAATCCTTGCTGCAGCGTCCTGACATCATTTGCTTAATGTGGAAGCAGACGCCAGCAGAACCCAGCCCTGTTCAGCTCTCTGTGAGTGTGAGACGAGAGATTTACGGGACACACTGACATCACTGTCATAGGAGCCGGGTGGTGCTCGACTGGATCAATATGTACTTTCCGACCCCTTCGAGTGTGACTTTGGAGGAAAGTCAGGAAAACTCAGCGTTGCCCATTGTGTGACTCGGAGTGTAAAAACAAACAAAAAACAAATGAGAGGGAGCGCGAATGGAAAACACAATGACAACAGTGGAAGAGATGATTGCAGTGTTGCTCTTTGTGGTGTGAAGTGAGGTTTAGACTCACACTTGTTATGCTCTTCTCAAGTGGTCATGGAAGTTCACTGGCTGCAGCAAAGCAAAGACATCTCCTGAACTCTGTGAACGTCTTTTTCCACGTTGTACTCAACAGAAAAGGGGCACAGGAGGGGAGTTTTTCTATATGCTCATTTAGCCATTTTGAACCATATACACTTAAAAGCAGCTGGTTTGCTTTAGACATTTTAGGAACAGATCAAGTAAACAGCAGTTATTTTGAACTACATGTTGTATAATTGCCTGGTCTTAACAGCTCCTCAGTGATTTATACATTATAAACCAGAGAATATCTTCGTTTGACAAGCATAACTGACCCTCAATGCATACCGGATTGACTTGCATTCGCTCCATGCTCATTGCTGCCGGCCAGAAGCCATTCGGTGCTATAGACGTCTCTGTCATGGTGGCCCTTCACTAGCTAAACCTCCACAATGCTCTCTGTGACGCAAGCACTGAAAACAAGCTGTAAGTCCATCTCATGAAACAGTAAGGGTTAGGGTTAGGGTTATTTATTTTTAAATCAGTTCAATAATTAAATTCAATTAATTTTGTCAATCCCTGACCTTACCCTATTATGGATTCATGGTTGGTAACACCAACAAATGTCTGGGTTTCCTTTGATATGACTGAAGATTCTCAGTCATCCAGCTCTTGGTCTAAGAGATAAAATTAGAGCAAGTGGACTTGCCACTTGCCTTTTAGTCTGGTGAAGATGCTTCCCCTCTCATCCAAAAGACTTCTTCAGTGAAAAACAGATGTGTCAGTGAGGAGCTGAAGCAGCATTTGAGAGTTTAAACATCTTCAAGAAACTGAAATAAGTCTAGCTGAATTCATTTTAGCAACTACATATTTCTTTTTTAAAAAAATCCACAGACATCTTTAGTCAAGGTTGTTTCTACAATAAGTTTGCTCAATAATATATTGAACTACAGCATAAAAAAGTCTGACGAAACAGATGTGAACTTTGGGTATAATCCTGCCAATTCTGTTGCACATTTCCTGCAGGTTTCTCCTGCAATCCTCTATCTGCATTTTAGCATTTTTAAAACCTCCTTCACTACAGGAAACAGCAACCTACAGGCTGAAAATGGTAAGTTTTGTGGTATGGATTGTGCAGTAAGGCAGGCCTGCTTGGTTCTTGCTGTAAATTAGCCATTTTCAGAACAATGTTCATCTCCCTGCGTGCTAATGTTCCACCTAAACAATTCTGCCCATTGCCATTTTCTCAGGGACTTTATCACTACATCCTGGGTTTAGTACCACAAAGATCAAATGAATGGTTTAAACACTGCTTAATTCCCCCCAATAGCAAAACAATCATAAAGTGCAGCTAGACCATTTTCCAGCTCCGTCTTCTCTGGCTATGTGAGACTAGAAAAAAAAATACCTGGAGCAAAGTTTCAAGTATCTTAAAATATCTTGTCTCCTTTTAGAAGTAAATTCAAGAAAATACAGCACCATCTCTGAAGCTGCTGCCCCGTCTCACCAAAGTAGCTCATTACCAAAGAAGAACCAAATTTTAGGAGTCAGAACACAGAATGACAGTGTTATTGTCTCTGTGGTTTGTATTGCTCTAGTGTTTAAAAGACAATAAAGATTTACTTCTGCTGCTGTTTTGAATGGATATAATGGATTACCCAACAAGGTGCAACTGACAGCAGGCAGTCAACAAAAAAGTCCTGCAGTGATTTGCAAATGTGGCCATTTCCTATTATTTAAATACATGTCAGTGATTTTAATCTTAGAGAATATTATCAAGATAAAACACTTTGGCTCCTCGTTGCACTGGCTAAAGCTGTAACCAACATTAATCTGTTGAATATGTGCTGGTGAAAGAGGTTTGAATTTTATGAGATCTAATTTAAAGTCGCAGGGTTTGACTCAGTTGAATTTAATAATGAATGAGTCCAAACCTGAACTCAGCAGATCCTTCAAGCAGAAAAGATTCCACAAGACGGGAAATCTACAAACTCAGTGCACGTACCACCAGCCACCTCCAGAGGGCCGTTCTTCTTCTTCAGCTCCTGCAGCGCCTCGGTGAACTCCTTCCCTCCTTTCTTTTCCAGAGCAGAGCCTGTAAGTGGAGAGAAGACTGTGGTGAATACATCGGCATGCACTGCAGGCAGGCAGGCAGGCAGACAGACAGACAGACAGACAGCAGGAAACAAGAGAGCTGTTTGGTGTCATGCAGACAGACAGGCAAGCAGGCAGACATGGAGATGGACAGACGGACAGACAGACAGACAACGATGCTGTCAATCATTGTACCTGGCCTCTCTCTGAATCTCTGAGCCTCTAATTATTCAGTCCCTGTTACTGTATTTATGAGACTCAGGAAAAATCTCACAAATGAAGTGCAAAGATTTACAGCTGCTTTTTCCAAATGACTCATTCTGAGTCAGTTTAACGAATGTATTAAAGCCTCAGTGCCTAATTACTTCCCTCTGTCCTCCCCTACTGGCTCACATGCAGTAAGTGGACTGAGGGCATTTAGTTTCACTCTAACTGGAGACTGCAGCAGCATGTTATAGATGACAAAGTGAAAGCTTTGTCTACCTTATTGGCACATACATTTCAAGTAAAAACAATCCAGGCAGCAACCTAAGTTCAGCGTGGAAGAGGAGGAAGGTGCATCTAGATGTAATGAGACCACGGGGAAATGTAACCGTATTCATCCTACTTATTTTGATGTGTAAAGGAAGTCGGTCCACATTGATCATATCTATTTCAGATTCACTCAGAGCTAAAGAGAGAAGCCATATAGGAAACCAGAGAGGAAAGGAGGGGGCGATTTAACTCGACCAGAAGCAGAGAAATGAATGCTCTGGCTACAGTATCGTTAAAAACAGGCAGAGAAGGAAAACAATAGAGTTAATGTTAGTGGGGGGAAAAAAAAGCTCTTCAAAAGTATTTAAAAGTCATTACGAGCAAGCACATAAAGACCAATGTTCTTTGTAGTTATTTAGGTTTAGGTAGTTAAACATTTGTTCTCTTATTAATGTCAAGGTTTCACAACCCTCAGGGGGTTTTATTGTGACACTTGTTGGACTCTTTTTCTAACCAGCTGATCTGACAGCATGGTCGACAGGTTACAGGTCACACGAGATGAAGCCAGTCCCAGATTACCCACGTTTCAGTCCAGTGGAACAAAGCAACAAGCAGCAGCAGCAGCGTTTAAGGATTACAAACATATATATATATATAGTTGTATATGGATTACTTGATGCACTCATGATACATAACTAGCAGAACCCGACCACTAATGGTGACACATTGAAATACTGTGCACATTTAATGCAGTGGGAGTAGCTGTAAAGGTGAAGAATATATGCATATGGACCTCCCACGTCAAATTACTACCCTGTGCTTCTGTTTTTACACATTTTTCAGGCTACTCATACCTGTGAAATGTGAAAATAAACTTGCAAAGACTTGAAAGTTAGACACTGAACATTTACTGCCGAGTGTTTTAATGCGGGGGGAAGGGGGGGGCGGCCTCGCAGAGCATCCGTGAGTGTGAAGGCTTCTCAGACCCAACAACACTGCACAAGAGATTCTAATACTCATACAGGAGACAACTAACCGCAGTAAACACCGAGCCAGCTTTTCTGCCAGACATTACCCTCTAGAAGCGCTCTCTGCTTGAACCCAAGTCGCTGATTTAGGAGATTCCAGGTAGCTTCATTAATCCTGCTCTGAGAGACAGACCCCCAGGTGTGAGCAGGAGTCTGTTTGGACAACGGTTCATTTTTGGTGCATTAAACCTCAGTAATCTCTGACATCTGAGAAAAGAAAGTCAGCTGCCAACCAACAGCTTTTTTTAACATTTTTTTTAAATGTGGCGAGCAGCTAAATTCGAATTATCCTCTTCACAGTGTCCACTTTTTCTGCAGGGTTAGGTTTATTGAAAACATTGCGTGATTGCAGCACTCTTTGGCAGTTGGCTTTCAAATCTTGGCAACTGGAGTTTCCCACAAGTACCTCACTGCATAAATATAACAGGCCCTGCTCGCTCGCTTCAAGCCTCTGCAAGTTCATTTTCACTTATGACACAGTAAAGTCCTTTCTGTAACTGTTTAACCAAATTACGTAAATTGTAGAGTGAAGCGTTTATAGTAAGAACAGAAGGGAGTTGAGTTGTGAAGTTTAAAAAAAAAATTAAAAAAAATCGGTGAACTTCCTCGCTGAAAAACCACTTGGACTTTAGATTAAAATGTGTGCTGCTGCTGTGCTGTTTGTCCACAGACTACAGCGCTGATCATCTGGATGTGCAGAGGGAGAAACACAGGCAGCCGTGGTCTCTGCAGAGTCAGTGGTTCCTTTACCTACTTCACCACCTGAATAGAGGGAGGAGTTGGTCGGGTGAACGACAGCGTCGCTCTCCACGATGGAAATGTCGGCTTGGACAACTTGCAACTACAGATGACAGTGACAAACAACAGGCAAACAACATGGTGGTAAAAACACAGTGAGTGACCAGGAGCCACATTGTGGGACAAAGAATAAAGAGAAAAAAAAAAAAGATGAGAGAGAAGAAGAGAGAGAGAGAGAGAGAGAGAAAAGTGCTCCTTATTGGCTGAGGAGAAAACAAGGAGGCAACTGAGGAAATGGTGGGTCACGTTACACAGTATGTAATTAGGAAGCAGGACTTCACAGTTGAGTAGATTTACCGAAAAATAAACACAATAACAGCAACTAAACTGCATTTTTTGAATTTCCAGTTGCAGTAATTAAGAAAACAGTTTTCTGCCCAACTATGTCGTCCTGATTCCTGAATTTTATGATCAAACTCCAGGTGAACAACCTCACAGTCAGGCTGCAGCGAGCAACTAACAGAAGGTTCATGTCAGCTTCTGTGGTGCCTGCTGCTCTGTTTCACAACAGTAATTTTCCTCAAACTCCAGGGATCTTCAGGCGTTATAAAGCTCTGGCAGCCATTTGAAAGGATGACAACCTGGAATGAACCTCAACACACACAGTGGGAAGAGCAAGCAGGATCACTGCTCTGAGGAGCTTTGATAAAATCCTTGAACGTCTCTACAGATTTCTCCTCAAAGCCGTGTTTTATTTATGATTTTTATTATCGATCTGCCAGCGAACTCCACCTTTCTGCTCTTCATTTTAAGTCAAAGAGCAGGATCAGTTACTTGAGTCCACATAGAATCAAAGGATCTCATCACTTATTCACACTGTGAGCAGTTCTTCTATTTCCTAAAAGTTGACCAACCAGGAAGAATCGACAAGCAGGAAAGTTCGCCATCATTTCACTAAGAACAAAAACAAGAATTTCATAGCTGCTCCTTTTGAATATTTTAAGAAATACTGAGCAAATCAAGAAGTCAACAACAATCTTTCATTTGACATTTACTAATCTTTCAGTAATTTAATTGAGCTTTCATTTGTGGTAAAAGCTGAATGTTTTAGCGAGACGTTTAGAAAGTCAGTAGCAAAGCCAAAACAATATATTGTGCTTATTCAAAGTTGCATGGCTGCATTAAATCAAAAATATCCTTAGATTTCTTTTTCCATAGTTCACATTAATTTTACTTTACAGCCACTGATCACTATATATAAAACTAAAAAAGGTTCTGTTGCAGCAGCTCTTGCACAAAAAATGCAGAAAAGTGAACCGAAAAATGTGGATTGAACACCTGCTGATTATAAATCAGAGTCTAAGTAAGTAAACAAAAAAGCAATAAATGTCCAAATTACAGACTAGCTGTGCTGTGAGCAGGATTTTCACATTGATTTTCTTTTTTTCCCCCCCTTTAGACAGATTCAAAATAAACATTAATAAATTGCACATTATCTTTTATTCGGACCCTAGAAGTGAGTTAAACCATGTGTACTCTAGAATTAATCAATATCTCTTACAAGCTGCCCACAGTGTGAATGGACAGATCTGGATGAAAAGGTTCGTCTAATTCATCAACCAGCCTCAAACCTTATTCGCCTGTACTTGAATTTCAAAAGGAGTAGTTAGATCGTAGAACATTCAAGGATTTTGAATCTCAAAGCTCCCTGGGACCAGACAGCGTGGGGGAGGTTTAGGGAGCTCACCTAGATCGTCTTTAAGTTCAAGTTCAGCATTGGTGGGGTTGATGACCCCCTCCACGTCAAAGCCAGCCAAGTTACTGACCTCGCTGTGGATAAGGTTGAGCTGCAGAGGGGGGAGGCAGGGGGAGAGCGAGGGGGAGGCATGCCGAGGAGGAAGAGGAGCCAAGGAGGAAGAGGTGAGGAAGCAAAGCCATTAAAACCAGATTCACACTGCAGCTTTATGGGACACCTTGACTTTTTGATGAATTATGAAACTGGACAGAGCAAGTAGATGCTGAAAACATTTGTGTGCAGTGATATTAACAATATCACTAATATAATGCAAGTAAGTGTCGTAGTGCAGAGTACCTACAGGAGGACACTTGGAGTGATGGAAAGGACACTATCGTGATGAAAAAAAAACGCCAATTTACTAATGTTTGTATAAAAGGTAAGAGGTGATGTGTCTGCTTGAAAGCCAATTAATTAGCAGCATTTGTCAGCTTCAAGTCAGACTCCTGGATGAGATGACGAAGCATTTTCAGATGTACGTTTTTAACAACCAACAGAATCCAAAAGAGGACAGCAATTCTGCAGGTGCACTGGTTAAAAATGCAAAATTATTTATGAGGCAAACAGTCTGGGAAATTGGGAGCACATTTGTGAAACTCAGACAAACTGCATCAAAAAAGGAGTCACAAGCAGCAACAACCAGTTTTATGGATGCAGTGTGTAGGAGGTAGAAAAATACCAGGACATGATTATTGTACCTGATTTGACCCTCCGTTGTAGTCTCAAATTGTTTAGGTCATTTTAACTACATCCTATATGTCCTACAATGTCCCCTTTGAATTGATGCAACCATGTTTTCATAAATTACAGTCCGATACAACTCAACTGCATTCTCATTTAGAAACTAAATTGTATTTGACAGAAATACATTTTTATACCAAAAGGTCAGACTGACATGGCAGAAAAGACATAAAGTCGATGGAAGGAATAAATCAGGAGACCATGTGGGACCATTATTCTCATTCTTTTTCCCTCGTTGTACACTTCTGGCTTTCACTCGCTTTTTGGTTTGGTTTAGGCACCAAAACTATGTGGTTTGGTTTTGGAAAATATCATACTTTGGGTTAAAACACAAGCCTTTCACGGGATGTTTCAAGATTTCCTTCCATTTTCTGGGTTACTGAGGTGACTAGTATCAAATATATATAGTTGGTAAAGCATCAAATAAGTAAAATAAACATGTTGATTAGAAACGTTACAAACATTGATGTTTCCATCAAAACAGAACTAAAAATGCAGCTTAGTTATATACAAATGCAATTTTTGGGGGGACTGGACTGAGTTGATGCTACACAGGAAAATGTGTAGTTTATGCACACTATGCAGGTGAATTTCTTTGTTTGCTTTGTGTTTCCTCATAGTTTTAATCTCAAAATGTCAAGGTATCCCTCCAAATGTTAAGATTTTCACATGTGACATCCAGCTAGCAGCTCTCACTTAAAGGTTAAATTCATCATCTGTTATCAGACACTGTATTCCACCAGCGAGGATTCAAAGCATTTAAAGACGTGACGACAAAGGCCCACATCCTCCCAGAGAGAAACAGTGACAACACAACAGTGTGTAACTGAACACAACACGAGTGAAATGCCAGAGGAAGAAAAGTGCAGTTAGGATAATTAAGTCTATAAAGCAGAAAAAGACTAGCTTTTCTATTCGCGGGTTCATTATCCTCATCAGTAGGAGGTTAACTGTTTTCATTTGATTAATTATCATCCACTGACTTCAGCAGCTGCTGCAATCTGTGGTCAGCTACACTGAGTCATTCTCCTGATGAAGAGAGCGAATGACAGCAGACATACTGCTGCTACCGAGTACAGAGAAATCAGGTTTATGCACAAATTTAACATCAATTCAGCCTTTGCAATCTACAGTTTCAACATTTACATCTATTTCATTTCTTACTGAAAACACACACACAAGGGTTCTAAATACAAGGAGTTAGACTCAAAATAAATTAAGATCTGCAGTAAAGGATGGCAGCTGAACCATACGTGCAGAATAAACTCCTCACTTACTACCAACTAAATGTCAAAGTCATTAGTATTAAATAAAATTAGTATCGACATATGCAGTGCAGATCAAAGCATGCAGCGCCACCAGAAGTCAGGTCACAACCGAGCTGAAACTCTGGAAGTAAATTTCTCCTCCACAGGGGATTTTATATTTGCATTTAAACTGTGTAATAATTCAGGAGTCACCTCACCGTGAAATAAATTATTTTCTGTAGCAGACCCTATCCGGTCTTACATGTCTTCATAATTTGGTGTTTAATTTGTAATAAACTGCCACAAGCTTTAGTGAAAAGTCACAAATCAAGAGATCTGTGTTGTCTGACAGCTGAGCTGCAACGATTCGTTGATTTTTCAACTATTTTGATTATAAACTTCTCAGCTTGAATAATTATGTAAAGGCAAAACTCCAAATCCAGCTTCTTGAATTTGAATATTTTGTGGTTTCTTTCCTCCTCTATGACTGTAAACTGAATATTTTCGGGTTGTGGACAAAACAAGACATTTGAGGACATCCTCTTAAGACTTGGGCAATAAGAACTGACATTTTATACCTTTCTTTTTTTAACATTTTATAGACCAAAGAACAAGTTGAATAATGGCAAAAATGATAACCAAGTTAAATAATGATTATTTGCAGCCCCGTCTGACAGAAATGAGGACGTCTGGTTTTAGCCCAAACAGAGCACACATGAAACCATTCTCAGCACATAGAGTGTGCACAAGAGCCACAATCATAACAAATCAGCAATCAGGTCGTCAATTATCACCGTTCAAATTAGTGAGCGTGAACCGGTGACACTTCTTGCATCATTCTTGAGTCACTCATTCTCTTCCACACGGCATCCTTCAGACGCCTTTCATGTGTTCAAGCTCATACCTATTTTCATGAGTCTCTGATCTTGATGATCCAAAAACTTTGATAGGCAAATTTACTTCCAAGTTTCAGCTCAATAAAAAAAGGTTAAAAGGTAGTTCTTTTTATGCTCAGCAGGACCAAAGCAAGGGGAGCCAACAGACAACACCGTGATCATAGCTTCTAATATCAGAAGTGAAGTCTACGATTAGCCCTCATATGAAGTCTGTCTGGGAATTACAGCAGCTCGATTACAATGTGCCATGTGCAACAAAAAAAAAAAACGGCTTTTATTAAGCAAAATATCACAAAGGCGCTTCCTCAGCAGTTGACTGGGAAAACATCACATCATACTCGAGTAATTTCTCCTCTTAGATCTATTTCAGATAAAAGACTTGAATGAAAACAGTTGGAAATATTGTGGAGGCAGATCTAACGGTCTGCAGTCTTTCAGAGAACTTGAAGCCTCGTGGCAGAGCAGAAAGACTTTTTCTTATTCACATATAAAAGAGCTGTTTATCCTCGGATTCATCCAGACTTAGATCATTTGTTCGGGACTGAGCAGGAATGAGATATCACATTTTGTTCAAAACACAGATCAGATCACACATGACTGAAAAAAAGGAACATGTTGTGTCTTTCTTTCTTTCTTTGAATTGGAATTATCAAACACTAGCCTTGACACGGCACTTTAGCACAACAAAGTCCAAAGAAAGTAGGTTGTTACTCTTAATATCCAACACACGTATAATAAAGTAGGGATCTTTGTATGCTGTACTACAATTAGCTCGGACCCGTTAGTGGATTTCTCCGCTGACAGAACACTGACCTTTTGACCCAGGAAGAGGCTCTTGGTGGAGAGAACGGTGAAGCTGTCGGCCGGAGATCCCTCTGTGGTGCTGTCTGCTGATGCCGCCTTGCTCACTTCGCCCTGCTTCTGTAGACGACACACAATAAACGATGACGCTTTATTTCTATCTGCAGCATTAATGTTTATTCTTGTCGCCTCCTCTGTGGGAGGTTTTATAACAATATCTCGTTTCCAGTCTTGTGCTGAAAATCAACACCGATCAGCCACAACAGTGAAACCACCTCCTCCCCCTGCTGTTACTAAAACAGCTCGGACATGTCTGGGCATGAATACCGGACGTCTGGACCAGTCCGGTGTTGTCTGACATCAGGATGCTGGCAGAGAATCCTGACTGGGCTTGTTCAGGCACGTCCCACAGATTATGCTCAGACTGGGACAGTTCGGAGGCTCTTTGTTATGTTCCTCGAGCTGTTTTTGTGTTGTGTCAGGTACTTTATCCTGCAGGGACGCTGTGTCTGCTCTACTACATTGTTCATCTGAATGCTATGTGTCAAAGTAACATCCACTTGACTGCCAGGAGCCGAGGTTTGCCAGCAGAGCATCGCATTGCAACGACACAATCAAAGTTACTGGCTTCACCTGTCAGTGGCTGACTGGTGTATATTTCACCTATTTTTAAAAGTTATTTTGGCTTTCCTTCCTAAAAAGACGTCAAAATATGTTGAACCTTTGTGATATTTTTACTACCACCTCTACTAAAAATATTTAAACTCTTTCGCCTGTAACATCCTGTGTATGTACAGGTCACGTAAAGTTTACATAAGCAGCCCAGAAACAGAACATCTGACTCTAGCCCTGAAAAAATGAAGCTCAAAGTTCGAGACTTAATATTTTCTAGTGTTAAAATCATGATCTCATTTTATTAAGAGGAAAAGATAGTTATCACTTATTTACACTTTCAAATCCTCATTTTGTCTGTCCTTATCTTGTCTTCTTATCTTTTACATGGAAGAGGGTGGATTTTTATTCAGTTTTTCACTCATTATTTGCTGTTGCTACCTGAACGTAAATAGTTTTTCTCAGCGACTCAAACAACTTAAACCACAGAAATGATTTGTCAAAATACTGAATAATATAATGCAGACACAACTTGTGGTAAAAGATGTCGGTATGACACATCTATGCAACTAAACCTGCTTAAGACATTTGGTGCATTTTCCTTTACAACATCAACATGTCCGTATTTAAACTGTTGTTTGGGTTTGATCATTGAATGCTTAGAAGTGAATCAGCACTCCAAAACACACACATGAAAAGTTCCTGGCGCTCGTGAGGAGAAAAGCAAAGTTTAAACGCCCTCAACACACTCCACCATGCGGCTCGAGGCCTGTCCACATGCAGACCTACCTTGGCTTTCCCTCCGGCCTTCTTCCCACTCAGTTTCTTAGCTGCTGCTTTCTTGACTGGCTTGGGTTTCTTCTCGGGTGCAGGTGAGACGGGCGTCTCCAGTTTGCCCTTTGCGCCTCTCTTCTTGGCCAGCAGCTCCGGATGGATGTTGGGCAGAACTCCACCCGCTGCAATGGTCACACCTTTCAGCAGCTGACACAGAAACACAAAACAGAAAGTCATCCTGCACCGTCTGGAAGGTTGGAGATCAATCTGAGAGCTTTCTGTATGCATAAGAAACTCAGTTTGGAGTAATATAAGTGCAACAGCTGACCTGGTTCAACTCCTCGTCGTTGGCGATGGCCAGCAGGATGTGTCGAGGTGTTACCCGACCCTTTTTATTGTCTCTGGCTGCATTACCTGCCAGCTCCAGGATCTCCGCTACAGGGAGGAAAACAAAGCATCAGGCAAGTCCATCTATAAATAGTCCAGAGTAGCTACGATAACCACTTTATGACTCTGAATACTAAAGTGAATTCACTTGCACATGCTCTCATATTTCATAAAAAGATTAAAAACTAGCAGGTAGAATGTTTGAACTGCACTCAAAGAGCAAGTGTGCCTCCAAATGTTAGCGATCAACTTTAAAGGCAAACATCAGGTCAGTAGGTGACCTTTGACCTGTGAAAGCACAGGAGCTGTAATATCCCAAACAGAAGCTCATTTATAGCAGTTGCCTTTTTTTATAGAACAGTTTCTGTCTGTAGATATAACTGAATATAAAAAGATATGTAAATAATGTATTTGCATCAAAAATAAACATTTAAAAAGCTTCACCTGCGCTACAGTATGACTTTACATTAGTCATTTGGCAGTTTTTATTGTTGAGAATATGGGTTAAGTGTTGCTTTATCAGACTTTAAAACACCTACAGATGGCAGTGAAGCAGCTAATGCTTTTAGATCCATTAACATCCACTGACATGGAGCCTCGCTTGCGGTAAAAAGTCGCTCAGCTGCCAACAGTAAACACTCAGCTGATGCTGCGCTGCACTGCAGTGTTCATGAACAAAACCTGAAGTCAAACCTCCTCAGTGATAAGCCGGTTCATCATGTTTTATTTAACACTCACCGGTGAGATACTCGAGGACAGCGGCCAGGTAGACGGGCGCTCCCACCCCGATGCGATACTTAGGCAGCCCCCTCTTGATGTAGCGCAGCATTCGGCCCACGGGGAAGATGACGCCGGCCTTGGTGGACCGGGACGTCTTGGTCGACTTCTTCTTTCCTCCTCGGCTGGACATGGTGCTGAGGATGCAACCAGCGTCAGACTCTGCAGGGACACAATGAACACAATCCATCAACACATCTGAACATTACGGATTTACCAAATATAAACAAACAAAAATAATAAAAGTTAAAATATGATTATGATTCTAAATGTAAAAAACAGTGCCTACCAAAAGAAGCAATAAGATACAATATGTTGCTGAAAACATAAATAAGCTAAAATAAGACTAAATTACAAAAATATGTGATTACACAAACATTAATTCATTATTTCACTTTGCATATTAAAATAACAAATTTTACAGATACTCAAAAATTAAGATGTGAAAAATGGTAAATATTTTTTAAAAAGGAAAAAGTATTTGTTTACATGTTTACTGTTAAATAAAAGCCAAAACCGTAAATAACATCCACATCAAAAATAAAATTACACTATTTTTGTTGTATTAATTACAATACATTTTACAGATACTGAAAAATTAAGAATTGAAAAATTATAAATACTTTTTTTTTTTTTTTTTTTAAAGTATTCATTCACATTTTGACTGTTTAAAGAAAAAAAAGCCAAAAAAATAAAATAATTAAAATAAAATAAAATACAGATACTGGAAAATGAAGAATTGAGAAGTTGTTAAAAAAAAAAAAAGAATAAAATGTTTTCAATTATTTTTCAGATTTCCACTGTTGTGTTAAATTACAGATAGCATCGAGTTGTAAAGTGATATTACACATAATAACAGAATATTGCAGTTTTAAGGTGCTAAAGCTGCAATGAGTAATCTGGTGCACAGATTTACATTAGACTACATACTCTCTGGTACATATTTGTCTGCATTTGCACAAAAAAAACAGTGATTTATGGCTTTCAGCATAAATCACGGTTTCTTCTGATCTTGTAAAGACACAGATCAGATGCTGCCTCTGGTCCTGAAGCTGATCACTGTGTCACTAGGTGCCGTAAAAACCAAAATTAATCAGCCAGAGCAGTGTTTATCTGTCAGAGGACACATAATACACTGCTTTGTGTCATGACTCCCATTTATTATTTGGGAGATAATTAGCAAAGATCCTAATTTTGTTGGCATCAGCCTGAGGCCAGAGATCAGAATAACTGTCAGCCTGGATCATCATCAGATCACTGCTCCGATCAGACTTGATAATAACACAACATCTACTGTTGTGATCCTGGGAATGGTCACTTATTAAATGTTCGTGTCTCCTGCAGATTAATGAGGCTGAAATTCTAATAACTTTCATATCATTTGAAGGAGACTGGGCTGTAATTGGAACCAACGCTGCTGCACCAGATGCAGACACCAATTAGCGGCTGAAGATCAATTAGCCCCACCAGGCCACGCTGCTGCTCGACCCGCTCCGGTAACCGCGGCCACCGCAGCTTCAACCGGCCGCTTTTAACGTCATTTCACGGTAAAACAGCGAACATGACGCGGCTCGTCCCGCAACATCTGCGGCATTTCAGCGCTCCGGCCAGGTGTAGGTGCGCTCAGCCGCCACACCGACACCGATTTCCGCATGTCAACAGCCCGCCGGAGGCTCGGACACGGCCGGTGCTCGTGTCCCAAAAACGGTCCGCGTGAATGAATTAACGGCTAAAACCGGAGGTGTCACGCGAGCGGAGGGCGTTTTAACGGTCCGGTGGAGAGAGAAGCCCCGGTGGAGCCGCTGTCCGCTCCGCCTCCTCCGGCAGCTCGCTCTCCGCTCTCCGCTCTCGGCCTCCACGCCAGCAAGGAAAAAACACGACACGGCAACAGCGGCGGCTGTCCTCGGTGAGCGGAAACCGGCTCCACCGAGGACAGGCGACCACATTGGAGCGGGAACCACCGACGGAGGACGCCGGTGGGGCTACTTACAGAACAGGGCGCAGCGGAAAATGTCTCCCGTTCTCCGGTAACGAGCAGGGCAGTGTCCCCGACTCCCACAATCCACAGCGAGCTCAAGTATCGGAGCCAGCCAGCGCTGCCCGCCGAGCGACTACCGGGAGCTGAACGACGATCCGCTGCTCGGTGATCTTTAACCCTTCCGCTCCGGTAAACACGTGGTTCGGCCTCAGACGGAGTCCAGAGAAGATCGATGGAGACCCGAGTTCCGACAGTCACGTTCTAAAAACACAGCAGATCAGCGGAACCCAAGAAACAGCCCGTATAGCTAGAATTCAATGAGAAGAACAATATTTACTGGTAGTTTACACATTATTCAGATTTCTTAAATTACTAAAAATAACTAAACAGAATGAATTTACATGTTGCCTGTAAGTAACGTCCACATTTAAAAAAAAAAAAAAAAAAAATCTATATTTTAAAAATGTTTTTTTTTTCAATGCTTAAATTACCAAAAATAAATAAATAAAAAGATTGTACAGATACTGAAAAATAAAGAGTTAAAAGTGTGTTTTGTTTTTTTAGGGAATAAAGTATTTACATATTGGCCATGAAAAACAAACAAACCAAAAAAAACTCATTATCTTTCTTTAGTCTTGCTTGATTGTAAAACTGTACATTTAAAAAAAAAAATTTACCAAACTTAAACCAGAAAAAATATTGTTTTACAGATACTGAAGGAAATGAAGAGTTAAAAATGATTTTTAAATTTTTTTTAATTTTTTTTTAAGTATGCCTGCCAAAACTGTAAATTAAGTCCATTTCAAAAATCTGTATCTTTATTAATGGTGATTTGTATGTTTATTTTGTTGACTTTAAAATTAAAGGACATAAATATACTGTACAAAAAAAAAAGAAAAACACACAATTGTTAAATAAATCAACTGAGTTTTTGCTGTATATAAATCAACAAAATGTATAAATATTTTTAAAGATGTCTACCCTTATTAGAATAAAAATTACATTGATGACTGAAAAATATTTTTTAGTGTTATTTTAACATAATATCTAGTAAAACCACAATAAAAAGTATTATTTACATGTTGAAAAAAAAACATAAAAAATCTCTATTTTCACAAATGGTAATTAATTCTTTTACTTTGTTTACTAGAAAAATACATTTTAAAATATATTTACATGTTGACGCTTTAAAAGGGGAACAAATTGTACCTCATGAAAAATCTGTATTTATATTGTGCACACAGTAATTCGCTCTTATGGAATGTGTGGCCATAAAATTAGAAGGTTTTACTGTATTAAAATCTGCTTAAAATATATATTTACAAATCTTTGCTGTCATTTCTACAATCTTTTACATTTTTTAAACTTTCTCATTTTTGAACCGAGTTCCCACAGCATGAGTTTAAAAGTTAAATGTTTTACTCTAATAATGTGAAGCTCATGGTGGCACTAGAGGAAAACTCATTATCCCTGAAGTAGAGCTGCATTGATTGATTGACTAATAAATTAGTCACCAACTATTTTTTATAATCCCTTAATTGAATAAAGCGATTTTTAAAGAATGAAAAAGTCAAAATTCTCCGATTCCAGCTTCTTAAATTAGAATATTTTCTGTCTTCCTTACCCTGCTATGACAGGAAACTGAACATCTTTGGGTTGTGGACAAAACACCACTTGTCAGCATTTCATCTTAGATTTTGAGAAACATTGATCAACATTTTTCACTGTTTTCTGACATTTTGCAGATCAAACAGCTAATTGAGACAATAATTGACAATGAACATGATTGTTTCTTGCAAGCCTTCGGTTCATCCTCTGGGCACCGTGTTCAAACTACGGCAGAGGACTGGACTCTGCTGAGCTGCTTCACCTCATTCTGGGTGTGCACTGAAAATGTCACTCACTGCTCGTGTGTTGGAAATGATGATGATTTGCTGTGTCACTTGTAAAAACACAACCTGACAAACCTGATCAGCTTCTCTGCAACCTGCCAGTTTGTTTTCACCACCTTAATCACATACTAATAAAATAGCCTGTTGTGCGTTTTGTACTATCCTAAGAGAAAAAATGGATGTAAACAAAAGACACAGCTGATGTAGAACCAGTCAGGTTGTTATTTGTGCAGCTCCCTTCCTGCAACAGGATAAGAATCCTTATTTAACTAAGTTTAAAATACAGAAAAAAACAGCTACAGGCTTGTTTAGCATCCAGTGGGCGAACTTGTTGCTTTTTTCTCTTGCTGTATACAGTCTATTTAGTTTATCCATCCATTATCTATGCACCACTTGATCCTCACTGGGGTCGCGGGGGGGCTGGAGTCTATCCCAGCCGGCTTGGGGCGAAGGCGGGGGACACCCTGGACAGGTCACCAGTCTGTCACAGGGCTACACTTAGAGACAGACAACCAAGCACACTCACATTCACACCTACGGACAATTTAGAATCACCAATTAACCTCAACATGTTTTTGGACTGTGTGGGAGGAAGCCGGAGAACCCGGAGAGAACCCACGCTGCACGGGGAGAACATGCAAACTCCACGCAGAAAGATTCCGGTGCCCCCACCGGGACACGAACCGGCAACCTTCTTGCTGCGAGGCAATGGTGCTACCAACTCTTATAGAGAGAAAAACTGTCATTAGTGCACTTTTCTGTAAGAAATGCAGCAACTTCAGACCTTTCGGCTCAGGAGTAACAGATTGTTGTGACTGAATCGTATCTCATCTGAACCTGTTATCGGGACATGTTAGAATAACAGCAAGAGCTTCTTCCCCTTTTCATTTAGTAAATGCTGACAATCTAATTTATTCAGAAGATGCACGAATGTCACAAACTAGTGAACCAGAGTTAGTTACATGTTGACCCTATGAACCCTCAAACTCACTGGCGGGTTTAAAAGGCATGTTTTCTTCTTTAAAATCACCAAAAAATACACAATTTATTAGAGCAAGAAGCAGCAAAAACAAAAAAAAAAATGATCAGAATTTCCACTTTCAGATGGTCCTTGAATGTATTGAATGTAATGTGCTGTTTTGTCAGTAAAAATAATCCAAAAATAGTCTTGTGATATTTTACTAAAATGACTGTATTATATATTTCCCATTGCAAAATGTGTCATAATAGACCATTTGCATCAGATTCTGTGAAAAGCAAAAAATTCTGCTCTTTTCAGAACAACTGGGAAGCCACGACTGACTCAGCTGTGACCAACAGTCCTATGACAAAAATAAAGGGACTTTTTAGCTGAACTGGATTCTGTGTTTTCACAGAGCAGAGAAGAGACAAATATAAATATAACAAAGATAAAAGTAGTAAATTATCAATAGTATATAGAGCTGCTGTGTTTCTAGTGAGAGTAACACCAGTGCCCACTTGAAAATGTTGAACCTGTTGATTCCATTCTTGCTAGACTTTTTCAACTTTTGCTTTTTCTTTTTTTAAATTTTTTTTTTTAGGATTTATGACATTCTGATGTTGTTGCACTGCACAAAAGAGAATTTTGAGTTCTCTCTACTTCTAGTCATGACTGTGCTGTTTCCATAGAGGTGCAGGAAAAAAGGAACTTTGAGTGAGGAAAAATGTGACAGAAGCAAAACAAAACACCCAAAACCTGCGAGTGCTACAGAGGGTTAAAAAGGATTTACCAGTCCAGTGCCTGTCTAGTGTCTAAATCAGGGGTGTCCAATCCTGGTCCTCGAGGGCCACAGTCCTGCATGTTTTAGATGTTTCCTGATTCAAATGATCAGCTCATCCTCAAGCTCTGCAGAAGCCTGATAATGATCCTGATCCTTTGAATCAGGTGTGTTGGAAGAGGGAAACATCTAGAACATGCAGGACTGTGGCCCTCGAGGACCAGGATTGGACACCCCTGGTCTAAATTAACTCCCAGATCCAATTTTACATGTATTTTCTAACAAATTTCTCCAGACAAACCTTCTGTGCTGCTTCTTCAGTGAGTCTCTCTGCAGAGTATTTTTAGCGCTGACATATAATGTGTTCTTCTGACTCCTCTGTCTGACTCAGACGGATGCTTGGAAAAGCACAGGTGTCACTAATTACATTAACGGAGCCTCTGGTCGGCTGAATCCTGCCTGTGATGGAATGACAGCAAGTCAGCGTGCTCAATACAGGACCCTAAAGGTAAAGCTGATAACTGCAGTCCATAAATCTCTTAATATTTGCTTTTTCTACAGTGACATGTATAAATACTTGTTTTTAACTGTCAGTGGAAAAGGCTGGAAAAGTCAGCTAACATCTGATGTGCAGATGAGAGTGTTCGCTAAAATGTGGCATTTATGCAAAAAAAATACTTCAGTTCAGATAAGCAAAAAGTAACAGTTACATAAATTCACACACTATAACAAGAAGCAGCAAGTTTTAACACTTTGTACGACTGGGATTTCTGTTTTGAATGTTTGAATCAGTCACAAAGCATAAAAACCATAAAAGCAATCAGAAATCATCCATTTTTACATAAATATGAAACCACAACCTGAAAAAAAAAACCACATTTCACTGATATGTTTTTCTGCTATTTCACCATCTTTTAAACTATTGAATTTCTGAACTGAGTGCAAACAGCACGAGATTCAAAGTCACATATTTCACTTTACTAAAGTGAGCCTCATGGTGGCACTAGAGGAAAATTCATCATCACTAAAGTGGAGCTGCATCGATTTGTCAACTAATCAATTAGTTGACAACTGTTAAATTAGTCACCAACTATTTTGATAGCTATTTAATTGGATTGGGTATTTTTTTAAAGAAAAAACAGTTTAAATTCTCTGACTCCAGCTACTTAGAGTTAAATATTTTTTGATTTTCTTCCCCCACTGTGATAGTAAACTGAATATGTTTGAGCTGTGGACAAAACAAGACATTTGAGGACACCGTCTTGAGATTTGGGAAAGACTGGTCGACATTTTTTTTCAATTTTCTGACGTTTTACAGACCAAACAACTAACTGATTAATTAAGAAAACTATAAACAATGAAAATAAATGTTAGTTGCAGCCCAACTCCATAATCATTAAGGTGTATCCTCTGGGTACCATGTTTAAACTACAGCAAGATCACTACAATTACATAATTCAGATGACAGTTCACTTGTACACAACTCACTGCACACTGACT